AGCATCGGGTATCGTGCCACTTGTAAAAGTACACCCCCCCCCCCAAAAAAAAAAAAGAAAAAAAAAATTCTACCAGCGCTGTTTAGTCCAATTCGAATGCTCGTGTATCTTTTTCTTGAACGCTTGATACCATTTATTTGGAGGGCTAAATTTGCAAATTGTTAATAGTTTTTCGCTATTGTAATTAAGCTAATACAGGAACTAATGTGAAACAAGGAAAGGTAATTTGAGCAAGAGCATAATTGAAGAAAATTTGAAAAAAGCGTGAACGCCACTTAAATCAGCTGGAAGCATGTCGGTACATGATTGGGCTTGGCATGGAATTGACAGAGTAATAGATTTATGTTTATCTACTTGCTTGACTACAAGTCTTTCTTATATTGGTAGTGGATGAATGTAACACGAGATGTCTAATTCTAACACACTTGTCTTGTGGCACCGACTTTATTGCATTCGGTTATCTTCGGTTGTAACGAACCACAAAACACACTCTGACTCCTTGTGAAAATTAACAATGCTTAATAGCAGATGATGTGTGGAAATTAACAATGCTCAAATAGCAGGTGACGTTGATTATACCTGTATAATGATTAACATACAATAGAAATTGCAAGATTTGTATGTAGCATCATATGTTACTACCTCTTGCACGCTACCCGTGTTTATTACTTTGGAACGATAGTGTTGGTTTAGATGTCAGAAACAGAATAAGTTTTGTACACGGTAGCCCAGGATCAATCGTCACCATTACAGTCACCGGTCTAGTTGTTATCAGAGTAAACGCTGAATTTCATATTATACCTAAACAATTCCAAGTACAAAGTTTCTTAACTCATCTCGGATAGCGATGATACAGCTTACTCCTAATTCAAATTCCTACTGCTAAGGTTTCTTTTACGTGTACGTCAACGTGTGCGTGGGACCTAGGGTAGATTCTGTTCCATGTCAGACCTGTCATTCTGGTGGACAATGCAATGGAACGTTTTGGACCAACACCGTGAGCGAATCACGAACTCTCAGGTTATCGATTCAGCTCATTATTCACTGACACAGGTTAATTGCATATCGAAATGGTTAAATATACATTTTTTCGATTTTATTGACATGCAAGCGTCAAAATGTAAACGGAAGCTTTTTGATATACCTCTCATATGCCTCTTGAACAGAAAATAAGAACGGCGTAATTATTTAACCATCATATCTTCTAATACATATATATATAGGGAGAGAGAGAGAGAGAGAAATGGGGTTTAACGTCCACTCGACACAGACTAGGTCATTTCGGGACTAATATATGGTTTAATTTTATTTCAATAATTCGCTTGCGCGTAGGGGTCTTTAGCAGTGGGAGGAAACCGGAGGACCCGGAGAAAACACACGAGGTTGGACAGGTGACCCTACTCCTTGTCACGTACAACCGGGGATTCGAAAACACGCCAGTCTTCTAATATAAGGTGAAAGAACATGAGTTAGCTCATATAAAAGACATATACCTTGACGTTAACCTTTGATCCAAAACCGATCTTATTAGTTAACCACAACCAAAGCTATGTCAGCCTAGTGCTTATGAACCTACACGAGGTTGTCAAATCGTGTATGTTCCCCACAATTAAATGCACTAATGACGTGAAGAAATGATCACCGTGAATTAAATCTGCTAGACCTCTTAATTCTCTCTGATAGAAAGATTTACAGCACGATGATCTATGGATATTACCAAACATCTGCATCACCTGTGAACGCCCTACTGATAACACATTTTATGCTTTATAAATCATTTGGTTTATTAATTATTGCACGTAGGCCCTTTTTGAACGGGTTTGCTGAATATTCATAATAAACATTTACATGTGGGGGATCTGTTATACAAATGCATAAAGATTTGACATTTGTCGCTAAACTATCAAATTTCTCACGACTTAATCCACGCTAATATGTACTCAGATTGATTCTTCAGCATTTAATTAAGAAAACACCGTACCGGCTGGGATTCGATCTGATTTAAAACTGACCTATTAAATTCACGTGGACAACAAAATGGCGGCCGGCGTATTACATAGCGAGCAGCATAGAATTTCAATTTCACATATCTTTGTAGATGCTGAACGGTTATAACGGCTTAATCCATGCTAATAATATGTTCTCAAATTAATTATTTAACATTTAATTAAGAAAACAAAATCAAAATACCCAGGCTAGATAATGTACCAGATTGGATGCAATTAGATTAAAAACAGGCCCATCAATATTTTTCGTGGCAAATAAAGATGGCGGCTGGCATGTTACTCAGGAATCAGCATAGATCAATTCCACATATCTTTGTAAATACTGAACGGTTATAACCTATTGTGGACTGATATTCCTATTAAAGATTCATCTTTCACCATATTGTAGTTTGCAAGTGATGACTATTGCTTAAAATGGTGCATCGGGATGTTATTTAAATAGTCAATAAGCGAGAATGTCAATTACATTATTTTAATATAATTTAAAAAGTTGTCTTATATAGTCACCTAAATAACAATAATTCAAGAACCGAACAGCATTAAGAATCCATGTAAATTTGTATTCGTCAACTTAATCTAGAAACGCCCGTATCTAGTATTTCAATTAATGCATGCTTCCTCCAATGTAAAGCTTTAATATTTAAGATGCTTTAAACTTTCAATGAGCTATTAATCAAATGATAAGAAAACACATTATATCATAGTAGATAAGGCGCCCATTTGTTTAACGATGTTAAATACTAAATTATCTTAAGTTTTAAAAAAACGAAATGAGAGGGGTACTGTTAATGAGGATCTGTTTTACTATATATCGTGTAATAAAAACCCAATGATTATAGTCAAATAAAAAGAAATAACGATATTAAATCTTTTTGTTAGAGGAGTTGGGTGGCCGATTGGTCTATCGCATGCACTTTAGATAAGTTCTGTCATTTAGTCAAGTGGCGTGGTTTCGATCCTGTCCAAACTTGTGGGTTTTCTCTGATACTAGCAAAATCGAAGATAAGTTCTTAAATTTTAATTACAGGGTATATCGAGTTATATTATTAACATGCATGTAATTGAAACATAGTAAATAATGTGTATAGCGAAGTTATATTCGTAACATGCATTTAATTGGAACATAGTAATTAATTTGAAATGAAATGGGTTTAACGTCCTACTGTTCTGCTCCGACGGGGCTAATGAAGACGTGGTAATTAATTTGTATATCGAAATTATATTCTTAACATACATTTAATTGAAACAGAGTGATTAATGGGTATATATCAAAGTTATGTTCTCAAATTGAAGTTAATTGAAATATCGAAGTTATGTTCTTAAAATGCATTTAATTAAAATATCGAAGTTATGTTTTTGAACTGTAATTAATATTGGTACTTTGCGAATATCTTCCCAAAATGCAAATACTGGCTCATCGTCTATAGAATGTGACTAATGGGCAAATCAGAGTTATTTTTGTTAAAACTCTAATTAATGTTCTATTTCCATATTTTACACAAATCAATAACATCCTTCCAAGGGCTGTGACAATAATGAATCTATGATAAGAATTTGGTTAAATTCTGAATATTCGGTTGTGGAGGGGAACATTCTGATCTTTGATTCAGAGAATACATTAATTCTCGGGTTTCCAATTACCGAATGAGAATAGATTCCACCTTGAGTTATTCGTTACAGGTAGTGTTGGACATACTTCAAAAGGATATCTTGTAACAGCGCTAGTGTTTTTACATTTGTATCTTTTTCCCTGGCCAGTCCTGTTAGTAACTCACGGGGTATTCCTGGTATCCTTAAAATACCTCCTTCCTTTAACTTCAGGCGTTCTATTACCGGGCTTGTGTCAGATGTAGTGTTGGCTGAAACACGTGTTCAAGTCTCGGTAGACCACCTACCATTTAAAACTACAAAACAACCCCAATACCCCCCCTCGACATCTTTCAACAAAATTAACTCCATTCTGCCATTAACTATACGTTCTGAGAAATCTTCTTCAAGATAGCCTTTGGCTTATTCATGGTGGTTTTGTTTCAATTTTCTTCATAAAATTTTTGTTGCCAGGGTGTTTCTGTTTTTGCAAGGTTCTAAAATTATATAGCTACTAGTTATGTGATCATTATTGCATTTTGTAAAAGAATGAAATACGAAGACCAATTTATATCTTGGCTTATTTGTGTAACAACATATTTATTAAACGGAGCCTGAAGAAATTTCATCGCCGTCGTGGTTGTTCTTTGTTTTAAGTGTGTACATAAAAGCGAATACAATAGCAATGTACAAATATGTATATACATTTATGTTATTGTCTTAACCTTATCTCAAAGATGCCATAAACTATACAAAATAAAAGAAAGTTCATTGACAATCGCCTGGTTATAGCTTTTAATTTCTAACAATGCTTCCAAGAACTTATTATTCTAAGGAGAGAAAGACAGACTCTATAATGTAAATTGACATAAAAATCTAATGAAAGGTTTTAGGTAACATATATCCCATGGAATTTCATATATGATTTGAAGCATGGTTTCAGAAAGATTGACATAGCTTTGTTTAATATGAGCAATATCTATTATATGAACAATAACCAAAAACTATCGCTTGTGAATGGATAAGCATGTGAATGTGAAGTAGATAGCTATATGTTTCCTCTTTCTTGAACAGGTTCCTTGCCCTATGAGCCTTTAAAGCCTTTGTTTAATCTGGGGAATAAAAAATAACAGGACAATTAATGAATAAAGATGTGAAGCAGATAGACAAAGGTCTACTCTTTCTAGAACATCAGATGCCATTTCTTATATGAGGAGTTCACTTAGCTAACAAATTCTCTTAGTACTTTTGTAAATATAATTCCTAGAATAAAAATACCCCAATATATATATATATATATATATATATATATATATATATATATATATATATATTAAAATATAAATTTACTTCCTGTGATGTCTTATATTTTTATACATTCAATTCTTTTATCTTAATTTGTTTCAGGTATGAGAGTGCCTTCTTTACCATCTCAGTTCAGCCAGCCCTCAAGTTGTGAGCGAAAGCCTTACTTCCCTTACAGTGCCAACCCCATGGCACCAACAATGCATACAACGCCTTATTATGAAAAATGTGCCATGTGATCAATGTGACTATTTTAAGTGTTATAATTTTATTGAATATATTGTAAAGATCTCCACTATTTATTACGTCTTCTTGTGATTTAAGCACAAGGTTTGAAATTAGAGAGGGAATATGTGTGTTAAAGACGAGATGGACAAATCAGTGCTGTAATCAATTAGTGTGGATAATCGATTATCGATTTTTATCGTGAAAAAAAATAATGAAAATGTGCCAAAGATAAACTATTATGCATTATGCAAGTGCCTTTAAGAACAAATATTTATTGACAACATGCCGCATAAGTAATTATTAGTTATTTAGAAATAATAATCTAAATGAATATTTCATAATGTGCTTTAAGATAATTTTATAAAAAAAATATTCAAGAGGGGCCTTGATTTATTAACAAATTGTGTCTCTAATTGGAGCAAGTTTTTCATATAAAAATTAATGATATTTAACATTTTCGTGTTTGTATATCTATATTTTTCTAGGCAAACTATATATACATGTATTGTTTCAGTTCCTATATAGATATATATTACACCACCGTCCATAGAATCTAGTTTATTTTTGTTGTCATGGTAATACCATAATTAATATCCTTCACCATTTTATGTAAATATGTACATAACACAAAAAATAAATTCACTTTTTTATAATTTGTTTTCCTTTCTTTTTTTTTAAATTGGACAAAATCATTTTATTATTTGAATATAGATTTATTCAATGTCTTCAGATACAATTTCGCTAAAAGGATATACACGGAAAATCAATTATGGTGGGTTTGTCCTGAATTAAAGTGACCAATACTGATATAACAGCCCCAAACCATAATGAACGCAAAACATATTTGTTTATCAAAAGATTTAATTATAAAGATGACTGGACAATTAACAACATGTCGGCTTTTTGTTTCTCCGGTCACAAAACTATGGAATACAATTACTGCTAATTACTGAACGAGGTTTCGACTAGGCTTCTCTAGTCATTATCAAGCAATGATAAAATATGAAAATATGACAAGACAATATATACACGTATACATCAATAGTTAGTTAATGCTGACCAACCAGAGATATCCGCTTCTAACTACATGTACTTAAAGGGAAGGTAATTTAATTAAGGATTATAAAGTTTAATGTTAATATTGGTGATTTGATAATTAGGTCCTATGGTACTATACCGACATCCCTGCATCGCATCAAGAAAGTAAAATTGTTACATACGTGTACATATTTTCCTTCTGTTTGATAATGACTAGAGAAGCCTAGTCGAAACGTTGCTCAGTAATAAGCAGTAATTATATTCTATAGAATTGTGACCTGTATATTCCAGTTCAATTGAAACAAATTTGTGTTTGTCGTCTGAGTGCCGGAGAACTGCGACCACCGAAGGGTATATAACGTAAAATTGATCCTTGTCCTGATTCAATGAGTTCACAAGAGACGCTCACTTTATTTCCAAGTGATATAGCAGAATTGAAGGGTATAGTATGTAACTTTGTATTAAAATACATTATCAGGCCGCTATAAATGAACCGGTGGAGTAAATTTTTCCAAATTGAAATTGAAGATAACTCGATATGAACATTTCAATACAAATAACAGGAGCACGGCATTTACCATAAGATATTAAAATCAAGCTAATCAATTTTATATACACAAAATATACATACAATTTATAACCATTCATTAACTGCTGATAAACAGGAGACAGTTGATCATAGTGGTTAAATGAAACAAAATGTAGTTAGCAGACCGTTATAGTTTACTTTAAAATTGTCATAATTCTTGAAGACACGGAATGAATAAAATGATTTACAAAATAAAATCATGTTGGCCTAAAGCCCCAACATACAACTATAAAAATTAAATCTCAAGCTTGAGGCAGGACGTTTCACCAAAAATCATTTTGACCGAAATATTGTTCAGATGAATAAATTCCACGCCATGTTGTGGCTATTTTAAGATTACATTGGTTTTTACTGATTTTGATCTCCGTGATAACAGAATAATATTAATTGTTGAAAAGGCTTATACATAAACTCCACTGTAATAAATCTACCAGTAGGCCATTGTATAAATTTCCAATTATTCTGCACTGGGAACTATAAATTTGGTTTCGTTTCAGTGGGAGTGGCACCCTTGACAAGAATTTAACCTGATTAAGAAATCCCACCAACGTGTGAACATATCGTTTTCAATTTGATTTTATCTCAGCGCGTTCGGTGTCAGCGAAAGACTGGTGACTTAAATTTATAGAGATGGTAGCGTGTCCCTCTGAAACACGTGCTCGGGGAAAATGAGTTAATTAATTTATCTGCCACTTGTAATGGCAGCGAGAAACATAACCTTAAATACACACCTCAAGTCATTCCAAATATCTACTATTAGTAGTTAATCGCCACGTTACTCAGATAGACAAGATGATAAGATATACGTCGACTCATTAACCATGGCTGTCATGGCCAATCTTCATTCGACACCTTCCAGTTTGTACAATTGTTGGTTCAAGCTAGCCAAACACTTCTCCTGTTTAGCCATCACAGATTCGGCATAGTTTTATGGCTGATTCGAGTTTTCTTAAAAGCCCAGGGGAGGTCAGGTTTGACCCTGACAACTGTGGCAGATTTTTAACTCTTCTTCCAGTAAAACCTGAAACCGTTAAGTTGCCACGATTGGCATTACACCACCGGGATTTCAGTCGTGATAAATGGCGATTGTCTAAATTTTAATTACAAACATTGCTGCATCTATTGTTCGCCTTTATCGAAATATGGACAAGGACCCTGAAAAGTGGCTACATACGGACTGCATACATGCGAGGACTTGTTGGATAATCAACTGCTAATAAAAAGGTTACACGCATATTATACAAATCAAAAGAAAAAAAACTATAACTACCCCCAAAGGATATACCAATTGTCATTTTGGAATCCTCGAATAGTTCCATACTCTATCGACTATGTGAAAAGTCTATGGAGTGATTCAGCAAATACAGAAAAAAAGCAACGTTACTGCTCCAAACGGGGATGCGCCAAGGTGTGCATGGGACCTCGGTTTTTCTTGTTATCCGAACAACTAGGCGATGTTCGCTGTCAGACCCACCGTTCTGCACCACAGATCAGACAAAAACACGTTGGAAAATCCAGAAAAACTTTCACGACAAAAGTTAAACTAAACGATAGCCATTTTAGATCCCTAATCCGTAAACTGTTTCTACTGCCCATCTCCCGAAGTATTGGTTCTAAGAAAGGAATCCACGGATAATAAATAAAACAATTAATAGTCATAAAATTGTGTCAATTATGGCTCGCTTCTTGTAAATTTATTTACCGTCGTGTAGGTGAGGAAATGACAAATGGTTGATCTCTATAATTTATGGTCGTTAAGCCTATTTGTTCAACTAATTAATGAGATAATTAACCGTGAAGAGATCACGAGATAAACTAATGACCCTGATAAGAAAGGCAACTCTCACCAACTCAGAGAGAGAGAGAGAGAGAGAGAGAGAAAGGTGGAGTTTAACGTCCACTCGACACAAACTAGGTCATTTCGGGAATACACATTAGATCAAATTTAGATCAAAAAAATAAAGTTGTAAATTTAAGTGGGTTTTATTTTATGATTTGTTTTGTGGGATGATAATATATCTCTCGTTGTGCTTGTACAGATAAAGCCAATGTTGGTATATAATAATTTTGTATTCCACTATGGACATACACGGTTCAATTTTATTTCAATAATTCGCTTGCACGTAGGGGTCTTTAGTTGTGGGAAGACTTTAAATGATCACAACTAATATGTTCTAAAATAACCCTTTTTTAATTAGATCAAAAAAAGATCCTTCTCGGCTCACTACCTGCATGAGTATTAATTCTCGGATAAAATCACTGCACTGAATTTTACCGTAAATTTGACCTCCTCCCTGATATGATTAAGAAAATCATAACTCGGAACTCGGAATCCCCATTTAACACAAAAAGAGTTTCCCAACATTAAGACCAATTCTTGTCAAGTCCAAGAGGGCAATGCGACAGCCGGTCAGTAGGCTAAACATTTTCCTTATTTAAATTTAACAACAAGACCCCCCCCCCCCCAAACGGTTATTTAAAAAGACTGGATACCATCTTGACCTCGATGTCCACGGGTAAAAATTCATTATCTAACCGCCATTGACTGACTATTCCAAGAAAGTAATAAAGGCGAAGTGAGATATAAATAACTTAGGTTAATATTGGTAGATCTTAAAAACGTTCCGACCAATATGGGAAGGCTGCGCTACCTTATTCTCTGTATAGACTGGGAGTCTATTCTTGGCTTTTAGTATACATGTAACTCCAATTATCATGCACATAAATGCATTATCTTTTAGTCGTTGACTGACGATTCAAAGACAATACAAATTTCGGTTAAAATCATGGATAATAAAGTGACTTTCAGATATCAATAACTTATCTTAGGGTTGATCGATTTTATTAATGCATTGGACCAATATGATTTTAGGTAAGACTAGTTTTTATTGTGTGTGGCCTGAAAATATTCATATTGTCCCTTTAATTCTGTGATTGTACTGTAATCAATTACTATGTTATAAAATCGATCAAACATCTGTTTAAATGATTAAAATGGTACCAGGGACAGTACTGGTACCATGTACTAGGGTTAGGGTTAACCCTACTAAGTTCAACATCTTCATTATTTTTAAAACAACCTCGACATTCAGCATTTTGACGAAATAAGTTAAAACGACCCTTCATCTACTTTTATAAGAAATAAATAAAGAGCCGTTTCGTAGCAAGCTGGGCAATTTCTGGCTCCTTCGACTTCTACCAGGCGGACTTGAAGAGATTTTGTATATATTGAATAAACATTGGTAAAAGAGCGGCGCGGAACTCTCTAATGAGCGAAATTGACACTCGGGCTTTTCATCTGGCCCCTTGCTATTATTCTTCATGTTTTTCTTTCATTCATGCCGACCATTTGTTAGAGTCTAATTGCCTGTGAGAGAGTAACTAAAGATGCTAGGAAGATAGTTTTCAGATCTCGCTACCACGGTGGCATTTAGCAATACACCGCGTGCTGAGTGCACGATTTACATGGCGGTTACCGCTCTCTTTAACAACACGTGGCTGCAAGTTTGGGCGTCAGAAATGTTTTTGAAGACTGGATAGAAAAATGGTCAATAACAAAAACTGGAGAAATTTGTGCATAGCACAAGACATGCTTCATTTTGAGCTCTTTTTCAAACAACATTTTTATATGCTGTATTATTTTGATCTGCCATTTCCTGCCTCTCATATCAAAGAGTTGATTTAAGTAAAAGACAACAGGATAAAAGGATCTCAAATTATATCCTTTGACTTTCCAGATCTAGGGAGCTGTAAATTAAATGCTAGTAGTTCACCAAAATTTTCACATTTCCTGTAATAGACGGTCTGATAGTAATACAGAATATCATAGGATATTTCTAATAATATCGCCTTTTGATTTGAATTTTTATACATAGCCATAAAGAGCAGGGCCCGAGGTGGCACTTGTTGAAGTTGCCGGTTCGAATTTCCAAACCCAGTGGGGCCTCCCGATTAGATTACCTTTGTTATGGGGACCAGCACTGAAAGGCGTTACATGATTCTAAAAGTGATATCGCTCATGGTCAA